CCGCTGTGGGGGGCGAGGGGCCGGGCTGGGTCCTGCCGGAGTGCCAGGCTGTCTCTTGAGGAGAAAAGGGTCTCTTTTATCTAAAGGAGGGGAGGAGGCCTGGAGCGCTGCCGGGCCCTCTCCGGACTGCTCATCCTGGTGCTGGGGTCGTGCTCTGCCGGGCAGGAGCCCGCGGGTATGGACGTCATGCTGGCTGCTCGCTGTAAGGCAGCGGCTGTCACACTGTAAAGGAGGGAGATTTTCATGCGTTTGCATCGCTTCCGTGGGTGACACATTTGTTCGGTCATGTTCACGCCAGTCTGACTCTTAAAAAATGTTCGGTTTTCCTCTTCAGGTTGCAGATCTTCTCTTTCAAGCAGCCAAAGGAGCTGGTCTCGAGTATGACTGTGTGTGTGGTGTTCCTTACACGGCACTGCCGTTGGCCACAATTATCTGCTCAGAAAATCAAATTCCAATGCTTATACGGAGGAAGGAAGCAAAAGACTATGGTAAAACCTTCAAATCAGGAATTTGTTTCTATTTCTTGTCATGTTTGGAAATTACTTTATAGATTTGTGGTTCTTTTATAAGTGCAGCATCTCCACTCCGGTTTAAGGTTACCGCTCCAAGTCCAAGAGCAGCCCCGTTTCCCCCTAAAATGTACCTCTTGCAGCATCCCAGCCTCATCGGGCTCTCCCAGCTGGTTGCTGATCAGGCTGCAGCTTGAATGTAGCAGGTTTGGACACTCTTGAAAAGGGTTTCAATTTTTGGTTTTGTGGGGATTGTTGTTTTTTTTTTTTTCTTCAGCATTGTCTTTTTTTTCCTTGGCACCATTACTATGGTTCTGGGTTCTGGCCTTTTCCAGAAACCAAGATTTATAACTCAGTTTCTCTGATATGCTAAGACCAGCACCACATTTCACCCCCAAACAGAGCTCGCATATTGGCTCCAAGAGGAACCAATGGGAACCAGGAGGAAGAGACTAGAAAGTCTCTTCTTCATTTACCCCTCAAATCCACTTTTCTTTCATATCCTATAGTCCTGTAACCAGTGGGCAGGGTGAACAAGGTGAGAAGCAGTTCTCTACCCAATGAACCATTTATTTGATTTTGATGAAGGGGGAGAGAAGACTGAAGTGCTAACCTAGCATAGCAGCTGGATTTCTACATGTGATAAGAGCTGTAGTCTTCCAAAAGTATTACAGAACAGAAATAGAATAGAAAGTATGCTTGTCAAAACTAAATGTTGTTCCTATGTTAGTCAGCATGCTAGGCATGAAAATTTGCAGTTCCTTCTTGTGAAGGACAAGAAATCAGTTGTGACAGCAATTAACTGCCTGGCACAAGGTTTCTGGTGTCACATGGGTTGCAAAGCTGTATATACACTTGTTCTCTAGGCTGTCATGGTCTAAGCACCACACTTGCTGCATAATGTTCTGCTGCTAGCTGCTTCCCAGGAAAGCCAGGCATCCTTTGTTGTTGCCCCCCAGGAGGCCTTTCATGGACATGTGCCTGTTGTTGGTGAGGGCAAAGGCATCTGAGGCTTTACTCCTCCTTGTTCTAACAGGCATGTTATGCGCAGAATAATGCCTGTGGAAAATAAGGAATATGTTGAAGGGTACCAATAACTTAGCTGCTTTAATAAACTTAGTTGCTTTAATGACATTTAAATAACTGGAGAGAATAGTTTTATAATTCTGAGCATTCAGTTCATGACAGTAATAAACTTCTGTAGTCATCCAAAGATTTAAATTTTGCAGTTAATAATGTGTCAGTTTTTGTGAGCGGAATGTAACTTCTGGAAACATGAAGTAGTATTTTATTAACTTGGAGAAGTAACAGCCTTTATGAATTGAATTAGAAGTCAGTGACTGAGCTGCGTTAAGATCTGGTATTGGGTAATAACTGAACGAAATAACTTTTCAAACTGACAGTGAATGAAATTCCTATTCTCTTGAAGTCGAGTGGAACTGGACCTCAGGATATGCTGCAGCATGTGCTTGTATATGGAACAAATGTGATCCTTACATTAGCATAGTAAGTTAAAGTTTTTTTGGGTCTTAAACTTTCTTCATTTAGTGTAGTGTTTGCCTTTTTATTTTTAAGGTACTAAGCGGCTGGTAGAAGGCACCATTAATCCAGGAGAAACATGCTTGATCATTGAAGATGTGGTAACAAGTGGATCTAGCGTACTGGAAACTGCAGAAGTTCTTCAGAAAGAAGGATTAAAAGTCACAGATGCCATAGTGCTGTTGGACAGGGAGCAGGGTGGGAAGGCCAGGTTAGAGGAACGTGGAATTCGCCTGCATTCTGTGTGCACGTTGTCTGGGGTGTTGGAAATTCTCCAGCAGCAGGGAGAAGTGGCTGTTGAAATGGTTGAAAAGGTGAAGAAGTTCATTCAGGGAAATGTGTTTGAGCCAGTGGCTCAGAACGGTCCTGCTCCTGTGAAGAGACCATGTAAAGAGCTGAGCTTCAGCGCTCGTGCCAAGCTGCCAGGGGTACATCCTATCGCAGCCAGGCTTCTTGTGCTCATGGAAAAAAAGCAAACAAACTTGTGCCTTTCTGCTGATGTCACCAGCTCCAAAGAGCTGCTGCAGTTAGCTGCCGTCCTGGGCCCCAGCATTTGTATCCTGAAGACACATCTAGACATTCTGAATGATTTCACCCAAGAGGTAGTAAAGGAGTTGAGAACACTCGCAGATCGACATGAATTCTTGATTTTTGAAGACAGGAAGTTTGCAGACATTGGAAACACAGTCAAGCATCAATATGAAGGTGATTATCATCAACTTTGATTTATTGTAACTTCGCTGCTGGTGTGTGTAACTGCAGTGCTGGAGAGATGGTGGCATCTCCAGCCTTGGAGAAGACTCAAGGGGACAAGGCCTTTGAAGCCTAACTTTGAAGTTAACCTTGCTGAGAGGGCATGACCTCCAGAGGTCCATTCCAGCCTAAACCTTTTTATGAATCTGTGGTTGCACTCAGTAAGTACTTCTGGGTAGTTGTTTGCTGTGAGAAAATGCAGCGTGGCGTTTTAAGGCAGCTACTTGTATGCTCACTATGACTTTCGTTGGATATTGCATCTGCAACTGTAGAACTGTTTTTCTGATCCACGTGTCTCACATGATCTGCATACTGCAGTAAAAGATAGTGCCTGTGACAGTGGATTTTTAGGTTACTGTAAATGTCTCAGTGAATATTAAAGGCAAGTTACTAAGAAGTGTTTGTATAAAGTAAAACTGGGAGATTACACTTTGTGGTTAGGCAGCTATCAGAATGGTCTGATGGGACTGCACTTGTAACTGTCAAGCTTCGGTAGTAAAACTGTCCTTTAAAATGTGAATGCTTTAGCATGCGGCTTGCTTTGTTTAACGTGCTTCCTGTTTTAATATGTTTCTAATGGCTCTTTGCCTATGTCTCCCTATCCATGTTCTCAGGTGGTGTGTTCAGAATCGCATCCTGGTCAGACATCATTAATGCCCACGTGGTTCCAGGCTCTGGGGTTGTGAAAGGTCTGAAGGAAGTAGGTCTTCCTCTCCAGCGTGGCTGTCTGCTGATTGCCCAGATGAGTTCCCAGGGGTCACTTGCAACGGGTGAATACACAAAAGCTGCGGTAAGTAGGCAGTCTTGTTTTGGGTTAAAAGGTTGTAAATGTTGTGACAGGGAGGTTTTGTGTGCTTCTAATATTTGCACTTATAAAAGTGTCTCTACCTCTAACTACTACAGCTTTTTTTTCCTGTGAAGACTCAGGAATCTGACAGCGTGGTGTTTAAAAGTTGCAGGCTAGTTGTGTGAGGTGGCCAGAGTTCACAATGAATTCTAGTAAACATTCCAAGTTTGCTATTAGCCCAGCCTCTTTTTTTACCCTTAAGCAATAAATTTCTAAACAATTTAAATTCATTGTATTATTTATAACATAGAAAAAACACAGTATTCATGTTCCTGGCTCTAAGTGCAGCCAGATAAGTGAAGGGTGAGGAAGGTCTGGGTGACTTTATATTGATAAAACAAGAACAGGTGTTTTGTACCCCTCACTTGCACAGCTTAACGTGTCAAAGGAGGGATGAGAAACAGATTGCTAATCAAGCTTAATTTTGAGTATATCACTTGTAATTGTTTACTGATCATTTTCAGGTACAAATGGCTGAAGACAACTCAGATTTTGTTTTTGGATTCATATCTGGATCTAGAGTTAGTAATAAACCAGAATTTCTTCACTTAACTCCAGGGGTGCAGCTGCAGACTGGAGGTAACTTTCTGAAATATTTGTAGTATGTTTGTAAATACAGTAAGTGATCTAGCCTTCAGTGAAAAGGTGACTTCTGAGGAGGGTTTTGTTGCTGATTCTCTGGGGGAAGGAGTCTGTGTTTGCCATTATGGGCTGCCTTCTGTATTTCTAGGTACCCTGATCCCTTTCCTGGGAGCTTAGTAGGAGTTGAAAAAATTTTTAACAAATACAAAAGTCTAACTGTGGCATTGTTGATACTGATACAGATGCAGCATCAATGAATTGGAAGTCTTAGAGTGACTGAACAGGTTATCACTGAACTGGGTAGGGAAGTTTTCTCCGCAATACTTGTGAAATCACAATCTTTTACGTGAATGTTTGGAGGTTTTGCCTGTTTCAGGAAGGCTAAGGCTTGTATCTGTAATCTCAATTGGTGCTTCTTTGCATAACTGTTCAATCTATTATAAGTGGTAAATCATGAAAAAGGAAGGTGAGCTCTGTGCAATTTGATCTGTGTAATAGGTTGTTTTTTAGTTGGAGACGCAGTTTCTAGTTAGGGTATGAATTGTTAGTGTGACCATTGAAACAGCATGCATAGTCTCTGTTCCAGCACCTCTTCGAAGGTTTTTAGTATATACAGTTTTGTATGAACTAAAAAAAAACCAGTGTCTCTATTTCAGGTGATAACCTTGGACAGAAGTACCTAAGCCCCAAGGAAGTTATTTGTGAAAAAGGTTCAGATATCATTATTGTGGGACGTGGCATCTTGTCAGCTTCCGACCGTCTTCAAGAAGCAGAGAAGTACAGGAAGGAGGCTTGGGAGAGCTACGTAAGCAGAGTTGGTGTTCATGCGGAAGACTGAAAGCAGATCGTGCTCCTAGTTAATAAGCAAAGCTGATGGAGCTGCAATCATCGTGAGACTTCCAGTTAAATACATACGCACTTCAGCCAGTAGAAAACTGCCCTTTTGGAGAAAAAGCTGTTACTAACTAAATTATTTTCAGTCGTGCACACAAAGTTGTATGTCATGGTTGTATTTTTGATATTTGAATATATGAAACCAAACCTTCATGCCAAGATCTAGCCTTAATAGCTTTTCTCTGAAAAATGTTGCACGAAACACTCCAAGGGTATTTTGTTGGTGGCTGTTGCTCTTGTTTTCCCCACCCTCAAATTCCTTCTGGCTGTGGAAACTATTTTACTGTTCTTAATAAATGTCACCTGCAGACCTGACCTGCTGCCCCACTCCTGCAGGATTAGTTGGCTCTATTTCCAAGAATCAGGTATGGATCTTAATTCCACACTGTGAAATTGAATAATGTGTTGTTTAATAAATAAATTTTTTGCTACTGTTTTCTTTTCATGGGATCTATAAGTTGTCCTGTGGCAGTGTGAAATACTTTTTTCAGACCCCCAGTATTATAAAAAGTCATTCTAGTGTGTCTGTGACTGCGGGAATTACTTATGATTCTATTTACAGAAGCTATGAAGAACTTGTCTGAGCAACTAGTTGTGTGCTTAACTACAGTGGAGCTGTTGTTTCCTCAAAGATGAAGCAAAAATGTGTTTTCTGTTTGTTGACTTCTTGTGACAATAGCTGGAATACTTCCAGGAATTACTTTCCACTCTTCACAATGAATAAGGAGACATAGAAATATCTTGTATGCTTGGTTTTGATTAGAAACAATGGAATAACCTAAAATATGGGGTGTGTGTGTGTGTGTTGGAAATGGACTTGAATTTTCATTGCTATCAGGAAGGCAAAGATGAATGGTGATGCAGTTCTGGACTGATGCTGTTCTTGTGCTGATGAAAAGCACATGGAGAAATCTGGGTCCATTTGTAATACACTTAGTGTAGACTAGGAACAACTACAGAGAGAAGAGTTTTTTGGCATTGGTACTGGACTCCACTGAGCCTTTCAAAATAGATTGGAGTTATACTGAAGTTCAGAGGGAGAGTTTTGTTGAATGTTGGTTGGATTAATTTGTGCAGAGTGTCTTAAGAGCAAGGGATGCATGTTTGGATCTGAGGGCCTTGCTTTATGCTTCTTGTATCTGTGACATTGTGCTCTATTGGCAGTCGGGCTTCAGAACCATATAACTGAAAGAGTTCCTCTGTTTGGGCTTGTTGGGGGTGATGACTTTACCCTTTCACACTCAGCATGCCCTGAAAGTGTGCTTCCCCTCCCCTTGATGACAGGGCTGCTCTGTGGGACTTAGGAGTTGCTTACTGTGAAGAGGATATTAAAACTTACTCAGTGTTTTATTTTCCTTGGGGCTACAGTTTCCTTCAGTAGTCATCTTATGGATCATATATTTTACATCCAGGTAAGATGGAGGCTCTCTTGGCCACTTTTCACAGCTGGAGTTTGATGTGTGTGTTGTATCTTGCACAGCCACTTATCAGCAGTCTGAGAGTCGTGATATTTCGCATCAAATCCTAAGAACTTACAGTCCTTCAAAGCGAAGGGAGGATTTGTGATTTGTTTACTGTCTCACTATCTCATGGCCTTGAGGCCTGTAGCAGAAACAAGACTTTCTCACTTAAACTGTTTTGCAGAAAACAACTTTTTCCACCAGAGGGAGCTGAGACACTATTTTTCAGGATAGTCAACGCCCTAGCTCTTTCACAGCTAATAGTTTCCAATGATGGTACTAACTCTGGATATGCTTAGGGTGAAAATCTTTCTGGTTTTTAACAAGTTACACCCTCACTGATGTCCTCATATAAAACAGTAGAGTTTACCGTACAGCTGCCTCAGGCTCGAGTTCAGCACTGTGGTGTAGTCTCACTGTTACAGCCCGAACAGAATTTTGTGAGTTCAATATTTTTCACTAACTGCTGAATCATATTAACCAGGTGGCTGACATCCATGCAGCTCAATCCCTGAGCAGGCTCTTCGGAGAGTTAGTTAGTTTGTTGGGCCTCTAGCTGAAAAAATAGCAACTGCATTGGGAGAGATTGATGTGATCTAATATCCAGTCACTTCTAGAGGATACGTGCAACTCATTTTCTTTACAAAAACAAATTCTGAGGAACTGGTAGATTGGAAAACTTCATTTCACAGTCCTTCATTGTGCACCCAGTAAATCATTCAGAAGGAGCTGTTTCCTGGCACTTCATTTGACACCAATGTCACAAACATTTCAGTTAGTAAAACAAAACCATGTTACCTCCTGTATGCATTCTGTCAGAATGATTATAGTAAACAAGTGTGTGCACTTTGAGGCACCTGAAAGTGATTAAAAATCCAGTTCAAATTAAGAACAAATGTTAATTTCCTTGCTTGCCCCTGCTGCTGTGTATTCATCAGATAGTTCCTGCTGTTGGTCCCAACTGTTCCTAACATGGGAACTAGGTCACAATTTACAAAACTCATTTGCATCATAATATATGGATCTGAAAGTCTTGCTGTTCATTCTCTGATCTGATTGAGTCTGGGGTAGAGGCATAAGGCTATATTTAAACTACTAGGTTATCACATGATTTATCTGGCAACTTTACATGGAATTGTGATTCTTAATCCACTCTGGAGTATGGTTTATAACAGAATGAAAGGATATCACACTTTTCATAGTGAAATAAGATGGATCAGATGTCAGTGCTTGCAGCAGAAAGAAGGCTGACTTGCTGCTGTTTCTGAACAGTGTAGTGGGGACTCTAGGAGAGACCAGCACCCAGTGGAACCATTAAGGAATTATGTAGCTTGTGATATTTGTATGTAAAGTTCACTCTGTCTCCCCAAGGTTGTGGGTATCTGACGAGCACGAGGAGTGCTGTGTCAAGAGAACCCAGCCTGGGCACTTTAATTGGCGTAACTGCGTAAGTACGGTGCTTGACTGGGACTTAAAATTCTTGTAAGATCTCGATGAACCCAGCACTGAATGAAAACCAGCCAACTTAAAATTTTTATCCTTAGAAGTATGATTTGTATGTCACAGTATCAACGTTGCTTTATTAACCAATAATTGACAGGTCATGTTGTAGTTTCTGTAGCCGATTCCGTGAAAATTTATTGAAGACTTAATCCCAGAAAAATAACTGAGTCACTTCCCTTTAAATTTACGTGGAAAGCCTGTTGCTGTGGATTTTTTTAGCAAGTGACACAAACATTGCATTTAGGGAACAGTACCAAAGGAATGTGAAACACCCAAAGGAAGTTTGTTTCCACATCTGAGTTTTGGAGGTCACTGTCTCGGGGAAATGGTCTGTTTTGGAAGGGTTGTAACTGTACTGCGGGCTAGACAGGCTGGATGTTTTGTTTGTTTGTAATCACCCTTGGTTTTTGGTCAGTCTGTACCACAGTGACAAGTACTGCTGCATGTTTGAATGCTGCAGCAAATGAAAACAGCCTTGTGCCTGCTCCATCTTCAAGTTTTCCTCTGACACTTTTGGCAGGCGTTTGCAGGCTGGAAGCAGTGACCCTGACTGTGTGTCTGGGTTGACTTTGTCCTCAGTTTGGTTCTCTGTGTGACACATGTCCTCTGAACTTTTTATCATAAACTGATGCTATCCACAGTCAGGCTGTGAAAAAGCAGGGTTGTAGGTGGAGGCTGGCCAGTACAGAGAACATGAGAAAGCCAGAGCAAGGCTGTAACCATGTAGTTCTTGCTTATAGCATGGTCTCCAGAGCAGAAGTGTGATGGTGTGCCATAGGTTGTGTTTAGCCCACAGAGGTATTGCAGGAGGAAAAGCTAAGCTAGTGCAGTTGCTTTTGATCTGTTCCTGAACAGTTAATAATAGCTACACAAAAGATACTTTCACAAATAGGACTATTCGTATGGGGAAATTCTGCAGTGTTCCCTGCAGCTGATCATTCCTGCTTTACAGAGAGGTATCATTTTAGGCTGATGATGGGAGCGGCCATAAAGGTGACTTGGTTGTAAGAGGGAAAATATTGAGCAGAAGACCACCTCAGCTCCAGTATTGACAGAGAAAATGCCTGCCAGCCTGGGAACCAGAAGCGTCCTTGAGGAGTGCAGCTGGCTACTAAGAGACCAGAGACATCCTGAGATACTACTGCTAAGTGCAAAACCAACAAACAGTAACAGCAACTTACCATCTGATATTAGCATCTTAACATCCTGAGAAAGTAAGCATTGGTAACTGCCCTTGGCTGTTCTAACTCACAGAACAGAAAAACAGTCTGATAAAACAAAAATTGGTCTGGGAGAACAGAAAACATCATCAGTTATTGGCTGTGCCAGGTGAAAAATAGAAATTAGCAGCATCTATTGGCTGTTCTGGGTGGTGGTGTCCTACACCCCTTTATATCTCTGTGATATAGAAAGGACTGACTTTTTACCCAAAATGGAGCATATTTCCTGCACACAAACCCTTTTCCCTATGAGATTTTCTTGGCACAGCAGACCCTCGCCAGGGACACCAGGCTCTGAGATGTGGATCATCATCCAAATGAGACTTCATCCATTGTCAGCTGGGTCCGCTGCTGGGATCGGTTTGATGAGCACTTGGTACCAGTAACATTTTAAAATATATATATATATATATAAAGTCCTGCAGGTAAGTACTGATAAATATTTGCTGCTTTACTAGTGGTAATTCTGCAGTAATTCATAATATTGAAATATAGACTTGCTGTTAATTGCTGCTGCTGTGGAAATACATGTTTGCTCTCCGGTAGTAATTTGTAGTAACTTGTACAGATACACTTGTTTTGCTGATTGTAACTATACTTGATAGTAGTAAACTATAATGAAGTAGAGAACATAGGTAATAAATCCTCTGTGTCATTGTGCATGACAGAGTCTTGCAAATGGTTATAATCTTTGCAGACCTGCAGGCCAGGTAACCCTTCTGGGTCGTGACATTAATTGGTGTCAGAAGCAGGGTTCTGTGATACACAAGTCATGGATGCTTGGGAGAAGGCAGTAGAAGAGCAGCGAAAATGGCAAGAGGCTAAGGGGTGGAAAACCCCTCAGTGGGACAGGGTTTGGGTCTCTGAGAATTGGCTGAATTGGGAAATGCTGCGAGCAGTGTTTCAGAAGTGGCAGGACAGTCACAAACGCAAGGCAGAGGACAGCAAGGGGGCCTTCATCGGGCTCCTCACGGAGGCATTGGCAGCTGCGGGCACTCTGTTTACCACTGCTAGGCAGGAACTGGAAGCTTTGCAGCAAGCTAAGGGTGCAGAAGCGGGAGCAGTTGCCTTTGAATCCTATAGTTCTGTTATGAACCAATTACTTAAACAATTAGAAACGAACCTCAGACCTCTGGCTATACGACAGCTAGAGCAAGAGCCTACATGCCTGGTCTCAGAGAATGAGATCATTGAAAAGATGCACAAACTGAAAACAGATAATGAGGAGGGCTTTGATTCTGGCAGCAGATCTTCCACCCCCGCCTCGTTAGCTGAGCATTGTGCACATAAAGCAGCCTCCTCATGTCCTACCAATAAAACTTCAGCACAACTCCCGGCTCCTGCCAGCAAGGAAGATGCTCCCCCGCTGCCCGGGGTCATGATGACCGCTGCGAATTTTAACGCAGAACAGCTAAGGCAGCTGTCCTTGCAGTATGGCAAGAAGCCCCATGAGGACTGGGTGGGATGGGTGGCACGGTGCTATGAGCTGGAGGCTGGAACTGTGATCCTTAATCAGGCAGAGGCCAGACAGATATTCCTGGGAGGAAGAATATTTCTCCTAAACCCCAATGCAGGGGCCAGGGTCAATACCTTCTCCTTGTTATCTTCAGTAATACATGCTGTTAGAAAAATGCCAGGACCGTGGGGATATCTCCCTCCCCCTCCCTGGAGTAGTCCTGATGGGTTTTCTGGCTGGACGATGAGACTGGCTGCTCGGGATGTCCTTAAGGCACAAGGGGCGATACCCCAGGACATGATGGCTGTGCCAGCAACAGCAGCAGGGAAACTAAAACTCTTGCAAAATGCAGCACCTGGGGGCCCAAAAAACCTGGCCTTAATGTTACGCCATGAAACTGGGGACTGGAACACAATAATGACTCAAGGGCTGCAAAATTGGACAGCCCTTGTGGGGATGCGACGAGGACAGGAAAGCATGCCCAAAATGATAGTCTGTGAAAGGGAAGGTCAGGTCAGAGTAGTCCAGATGCTAAAGGGAGGTCAGAGTAATAAGAATAAGGGACAAAATGTTGAAATGAATCAATCTGACACAAAGCGACGCCCTGGCAAAGAGGATCGTGATCTGGAACGGAGACGTTTATGGGACCTCCTGCGAGGAATAGGCTTCACAGCAGGCCAGTTAGAGAGGATGCCCATGTTCGTCTTGCAGAGACTGTGGGATAAGCGTGATGAGGGGGGCACCAGCAGCCCAGCAGCAGGGAAGGGGCTGGGTGGTGTTAGTCCCTCTGCCTCCCCCATCCCGGACAACCTTGTTCTGTCTGGTGCCCCAACCCCCTTACCTGAAAATGAATAGAGGAGCTCCCAGCATCAGCCCAGGGAGTCCCAGTGACCCCTCTCAGGTGTCTGCAATTTTTGGAATTAATATTGGCACCCTTGTATACCATTAATAGTGAATTGCAAATACTGTCTCTTATGGGTACATGCACCTCAAGATCAATGATTAAAGCTGAGGACAGCCCTGGGTTAATCCAGAAATCTCAAAAAAGGATTTCTATAGTAGTGATTGCCAGGAAAATATGAGCGCTTCCTGGGGCTAGGATAAAATTGGCTCTGCCTGGTGGAAGGACACTGACACCCATAGTGGCAGTAAGGCTCAAGTATTTTGTGTATGGATTTATTAAAATCACAGACTATTAATACTCCATTAGGGTCTTGGGTACCAAACCCTCAGATCCAGAACTCTGTAGTTTCTATCAATAAAATAACCTGCTGTGGAGGCTATTGCTTTTCTGCTACAGGCAGCACTCAAGTTACCTAAAAGTCCCTTCTCCTATGTATGACAGTACTGTATTAGCCCTGAAGCCTCAGAGGCATAACTGCTCTCATCCAGGATTTAGGACAATGGGTTATTGTCATGGTTTAAACCCAGACAGCAGCC